CCCCCCCCCGGCCGCGCCGTACCCGGTTCAGCGCCCGGCTTCGTTTCCCAGGTGCCTCCGCCCAGAGAGTGGTTTAATGGCTCCTTGCGGAGCGACCCCCCGCCCCAAAGTGGAATCATGGAATCCTTTTGATATAGAGACCCGCTAATGTCCGTCCGTATTGCCACAACCCCTAGACGAGGGCAGGGCAAGGGCTCCAGAGCTTCTGTGTGGTTCTGAGAGCTAATAAAAGGTGCGCTTCCCCTTATCTCCTATGCACTAAGTAGCTTCAGGGGATCCGTGACTTTCCTGAGACTGCCCAAGAAACTGAAAGATGTAAATCTCCATCTAGTCCCTTTTCTTAGTAGTCATAGGTTTGAATAGTATAGTATCAATGTAATCGGAAGCCTCGTGTTTGTATAACTTTTGTATCTGTGTAATCATAAGTTTTGTGGTATGTGTTACCTTTGCATAGTGCATGATCTCTCCAGCCTTGTAAACTCCCTTTACTCTAGCAAGGCTGATTAGTGCTTCTGCTGGGGCCCTACTGATAAAAACTGTGAGATACCTCTGGTACCCAGCACCGGAAAATATAACTATTGCAAAATGCGGCTGTAACTTAAGTTCTAGATCATGCTCTGTTGGTCACGTGCCTAATCTATAGGTACCAACAACTCGACTTGATATTCTAGTGTCTTACTCGCTACTAACTAAAAGCCTACTTGACACCGTCTTCCAGCTCTCAGCACATCTGACCTCACTTGCCTGCGCCCGGCCACTGTTGGCCCTTACTTCTGCCAGCAGTGCACTCGCCTTGTCTTATCTCCCAGCTGGTAATATTTGTGGAGTGTAAGGTCAACACAAATTAAAGACAAGAGGCCTAAGTCTTCCTGTTGCAAGTTAAGGATTTTCTCCTCCTTTTTGTTGGAACATTCATTTGAGAAAACTGGTAACTACTGTAAGTATTTTGACCTCTCTTTGAAATGTATGCAAATTTTTTTGAAGACTAGGCCTTTGTCTCTGAAATGCAAATATCAAGGGACACAGTGCCCCGTCTCCCAGTTTTGGTGGGAGAATACATGGGAAGCCAACTCCAGTGGGCCCCTTGCTCCAAGCTGCACAACTGTCTTCTATAATAAAGATAGGAGTTTATTTTTCCTTCGGATAAAGCCAATTAACTGACACAGGACCACCCCAGTTTCCAGGCTAAGCTGGCATGACTATGTGTGACAGCGCTGCCAGGTTATATTTGGAACCAGTTAATTGCTTATCTTGGAAACATGTTTGCAGTGGATTCCTTGACTACACAAGGCTGAGCTTTCTTCCTGTCTCTGCCATCTCTTCCTCTCTTGGCAGATTGCCTATTGTGTGCATCACATTCTGCTTTAAAACTTACTCAGTTCAAAGGTGTTTTCTTTCTCTACTACCTCATGGAGAGGATTTCTGGGTTGTTGTGTTTTTAATTCCCTCACAGGAGGCAGCTTCCCTCCTCGAGAGGAGGAATCCACACCAGGTTTTGAAATACATGCACAACCCCATCAGGGTCTAGTGGACAATCATGGACCTCCTTTCCAGAAAAAAACAAACACATGCAATTCTGCACACAAATTTGAAGTGTTCTCAGGCCTCCAGAAGTGCATCTATCAGGGAGGGAGAAGCCAGGGTCTCTGGTTATCTCTCAGCAGCTACAACTGTGCAGATTATTTTTTTAAGTGTTTCACTAACTGTTAAGAAAAGTCTTTGTTTAGGCCAAGGTTACTACTCCTAAAGGTTAACATGCGCTCACTTTCTGAAGTCTTTCCATCCTTTGAGCTTGAAGCAGCCACAGGCTCCTGGGACATGGTCCCTGCTGGACTGTGGGTGTGAGGGCCGTTGGCCTGTCTTCAGGACACACCTAGTGAGTGGCAGAGCTGGACCCAGAGGACTTAGACTCAGCCGAAGGCTTCTCACCTGTCTCAGGTCTTCTCGGCTGTAAGAGGTTGGTTTGATATGCTTGGAAGCTTAGGCTGAAAATGAAACTGTGGCTGACACTGGTGTCTTCAGTGGGCCCTTCTGTCTCACCATGCTCACCAGTACAGCAGGCTAAGGGCAGCACGTTTTCAGTCTGGCTGGCATTAGCTACATGGCATCCTGCTCACCAAAGGCATATGGAAATTGGCAGCAGGGACTCTGTCTAAACACTGAAGACGAAGGCATTGAGAAAGGTCACTTGCCTTTTTTAAAAACGTGTTTTAAACTGCCGACACTGCTCC